CCCTGGGGCTCCTGGGGCAGAAAGCTAGAGTTTCAACATGTTTGGTCGCCCTCTTGGGCCCCTCTTGGTGCCGTCTTGGAGCCCTCTTGGGCCGTCTTGGGGACCTCTTGGGCCGTGTTGGGGCCGTCTTGGGCCGTCTGGAGGCCGTCTTGGGGGCCTCTTGGGCCATCTTGGGGCTGTCTTTGGGGCCTCTTTGGCTGTCTTGGAGCGTCGGGAAGCCGAAAAGGCGGAAAAGCAAAAAACATAGAAAAACATTATGGAAAATCAACAATTTTAGACTCTTGGGGCCCTCTTGGGAGGCTTGTTTGGGACCTCGGGGGCCGTCTTGGAGACCTCTTGGCCCGTCTGGGGGCCATCTTGGGCGTCTTGGAGCGGTCGTTTGGCGTCTCGGGGCCTTCGTGGGCCGTCTTGGAGGCCTCTTGGGGGCTTCTTGGCCCGTCTTGAGGCCCTCTTGGGCCCGGAAAAGCCCCGTGAACCGCTCGTCCCGGCCGTGGTGCGCTTGTCCCGGACCCCCCCCCCCCCCCCTCCAAATCGACCGGACCGGGCTCCCGGGGGAGGGGTTTGGGGAGGCGGAAGCATCTCACACGCCGATGATCCCCAAGGGGTCGGCGGATTTGTATGGTGCTGATGATGAGGATGATGCTGATGAGGAGGACGAGGAAGAATATGAGGATAATGATAATGCTGAGTATGATGATGATGGTGGTGTTGATGATGACGATGATGATGATGCTGACGATGATGTTGTTGCGGATGCTGATGGTGCTGATGATGATGATTATGGTGATGATGATAATGCTGATGATGATTTTGATGATGACGGTGATGGTGATGATTATTCTGATGATGAGGATCAGGATGATCAGAGGAGCATGAAGTATTGATATTGATAGTTTTCCTCCGCACGGGCTTCAGGGACGAATGGTCGAGCGCGTTCCGTCGCGCAGGTTCTTCGCGTGATGTTCGCGGTGCATTTTTCGCGCATCGGAGCGCCCTCGAAGATTCCAAGTTGCATGCTGTGTTGCTCTTGGGGGGTCCGCGAGTCGCAGCTGCCGTGGCGCTGTGTTCGAGGTAGCCCCTTCGAGTGCTGTTCGCGGGCGCAACGCGCGGCGCGCGCTGCGCCCAATCGCGCGCGGCGCGGCGCGTTAATCAGCCGGCCGCGCCCGTCGGACCGCCCAGACATTAGTTCCTGATAATAAAATGTGTCAGCAAATGTTTCCGCCTTTTTTTCGCGCAAGCGTTCCCGGAATTTTTCAAAACAGGAGCCCGGAAATGCTCAAAAACAGTTTTGAGGGGTGGAATGCGCCCGCCGCGCAGGACATCGAATTTTTCAGAATGGATTCCGGAATTTTTCAAAATCGATCCCGGAAATTTTCAAAAACGGGTCTGACATTTTTCGAAAAGTAGGCCAAACATGTTCAAACATGTTCCCGGATTTGTTCAATTTTACCCCCGGAGAGTTTTCCAGAGTCGCGCATGATTTGCCTTGCCAGGTCTTTGGGAATCCGCCGAGACGCGCGGTGCGCGGCGGCGGGCGATGGGACGGTGCGCCGCCGTCCCCCCCGCGCTCGGCAACGAGAAGGGGGGTCAGCAACTGCCAAGTAGCCCCTTACGGGCGACCGCTCGATTGCGAATGGATGACCGACCAGCGACGCCAGCCAGAGTAGACAATACTCGACGCAAAATGTACCCCGCGCGAAGGTTGTTAGAAATCCCGGAATCTCCGGAACGTATCACTAGCACATTGTGTCACTAGATTCTTCTCGTCCTAGATGAGGACGATGATTATGATGATGATATTGAGGATGATTATGATGATGATGTTGCTGATGATGGTGAAGAGGAGGAGGATGATGCTACTGCTGATGTTGAGGACGAGGAGGAGGATAATGATGATGATGATGATGATGATGATGATGATGATGATGATGATGCCGATGATGTTGATGATGATGATGGCGATGATGATGATGATGGCGATGATGATGATGATGGCGAGGAAGAGGATGAGGAGAAAAACAAGGAGGATGAGGAAGAGGACTGATGAGGGATGACGGTGGTGAGGGAGGGAGGAAGGAGGATGAGAACGAGGAAAAAGAGGGGGAGGGGATAAACAGGAGGAGAAAGGGGGGGAAGAGGATGGGTGCGGATGAGGAGGCGCAGGAGGGAAGGAGGAGGAGGAGGAGGAGGAACAAGAGGAGGAGGAGGAGGAGGAGCAGGATCAGGAGGAGGAGAAGGAGAGGGAAAAGGATGAGGGATGAGGAATGAGGGTAGTTGAGGAGGAGGAGGAGGCAGGAGGAGGGGGAGAAGGAGGTGGGTGGGAGAGATGATGGGATGATGCTGATGTGATGATGACGACGATGATGACGATGCTGATGATGATGTTGATGTTGATGTTGATACTAACGGCTTTGATTATGTTGATTATGCTGGTGATGATGATGCTGATGTTGATGGTGATGGTTATGCTGAGGATGATGTTGATGATGTTGGAAATGATGATGATGTTGTTGGTGATGATAATAGTGGCGATGCTGCTGCTGATGATGTGTTTGCAGCTGCTGATGCTGATGCTGGTCTGGTCGGTGCGGATGAGGTTGAGGATGGGGATGATGATGACGACGATGTCGATGATGATGATGATGACGATGATGATGACGATGATGATGCTGATGATGGTGATGATGATGTTGCTGATGATGATGATGGTGATGATGATGCTTTCGCTGATGCTGATAATGCTGATGATGCTAATGATGATGCTGATGCTGATCATGGTGATGGTGGCGATGATGATGCTGCTGTTGTTGGCGATGATGATGATGATGATGATGATGTTGATGTGGATGAGGATGATGACGACGACAATGATGCTGATGATTAGGATGATGCTGATGATTATGATGATGATGATGATGCTGACGATTATGATGACGGTGGTGACGATGATGTTGATGGCGATGGTGACAGTGATGTTGATTGTGATGATGGTGGTAGCAGTGGCTGTGAGGATGATGGTGATGCTTATGATGCTGTTGTCGATGATGCTGATGACAATGATGATGATGGGGATGATGATGGTGATGATGATGTGATGGTGATGGTCATGGGTGAGGATGATAATGCAGATGATGATGATGACGAGGAGGAGGAGGAGGAGGAGCCGGGGGGGGGGTCTAGGAGGAAGAGGAGGAGGAGGAGGACCAGTGCAAGCCCAAGAGTCATCAACAATGTTGGAGTAAACCCTCCCTCCAAGCTCCCTCTGCATAGGCCTCTACACTTGTTTATTTTCACTGAGGGGACTGCTTCGTTGGAAGACATCCGTTTGAAGACCCTGAAGCATGCCAAGATCAACCTGATTGTTGCGTCTTGAGGATCCTGAATCGTGCCAGAACGCCGTTCCTGGGATTTCAACACCGCGAATCAACGTAACAGTTGCGCCCTCATAGTCCTGACTCCTTCCAATACACCCTTTCTGGTACGTGGATCATGGGAACCCGTGAAACTCTTGCAAATGTTCACATTGAATGTACGCGGCGTTGAGGCGAGAACCACATGTTGAAAAGGAGCCGCCCTCAATCCCTGAAGCTCTTGCACATTGTTGTGAGCAGAGTGTGCGCGGCGCGTAGGCGAGAGCCACCTTTTGAGAACGGCCCGCCCTCAATCCGTGAAACCCTTGCAAGTGCTTGAAACGAGTGCGCGCGGCGATAAGGCGAGATCCACCGTTTGAAAACTACCCGCCCTCAGTTCGTGAAACTCTTGCAGCTTTTGAGAAGAAGTTGCGCGGCGTTAAGGCGAGTGCCACATTTTGAAAACGACCCGCCCTCCATCTGTGAAATTGGTTCCAATGTTTAAGCTTCAGGGTCACTCGTGGTGAGGAGGTCTGAGGCGAAACGCCCGGCCCGACCTAAACACTGGCTTCGGGGTGCGACAGGAAGAAGTTACTCATGAAGAACAAGAATTGGAGGAGGAGGAGGAGGAGGAACAGGAGGAGGAGGAGGAGGAGGAGGAGGAGGAGCGATGAGGGTGAGGGATGAGGGATGAGGGAGGAGGAGGAGGCGGAGAAACAGGGAGGGAGGAGAAGGAGGAGGAGGAGGAGGAGGGGAGGATGATGAGGATGATGATGATGGTGGTGGTGATGATGCGATGACGATGACGATGACGATGATGATGAGGTGATGATGATGAGAATGCGATGCTGATGGATGATGGATGATGGCAGGTGAAGGTGGATGATGATGATGATGATGAGATGTGATGATGATGATGATGATGATGATGATGATGATGATGATGATGATGATGATGATGATGATGATGATGATGATGATGGTGATGGTGATGGTGATGGTGATGGTGATGGTGATGGTGATGGTGATGATGGTGATGGTGATGATGCTGATGGTGATGATGCTGATGCTGATGCTGATGCTGGTGCTGATGCTGATGCTGATGCTGATGCTGATTATGATGCTGATGCTGACGCTGATGCTGATGCTGCTGCTGCTGCTGCTGCTGCTGATGCTGATGATGAGGAAGAGGAGAAGGAGGAGGAGGAGGAGGAGGAGGAGGAGGTGGAGAATGAGCAAGAGGAGGAAGAGCAGGAGGAGGAGGAGGAATATGAAGAGAAGCAGGAGGAGGAGGCGGAGGAGGAGGAGGAAGCGCAGAAGGACGAGGAGGAGGGTGAGGTCGAGGAAGCAAACGAGGAGGACGTGGACGCATTGCGGAGAGGAAGGCAGGTGGAGGAGCAGGAGGAGCAGGAGGAGGAGAAGGGCGGATGGCGGAGGTCGACGAGGAGGGACGAGCAGGACCAGGATCAGGCGGATGAGGAGGGGGACGACGACGGCGACGCCGGCGGCGGCGGCGACGACGACGACGACGACGACGAAGCCGCCAGCCACCACGACGACGACGACGGCGGCGACGACGACGACGAAGCTGCCACGGCGGCGTCGGCGGCGGCGAGGATGGCGGCGCCTTCGGCAGAGCGGCGGGCTCTCTGGCAGGCGCCGACGCCGACGCGGCCAGCTGCGGCTCGTCCTCGCAGATGCGCCCGACGGCGTCGACGCCCTCGGCGTCGACGCCGCGGGAGCAGCAGGCTCGGCTCCGTCGCGGACGTCCTCCGCCGCCGCCGTCATCCTCCGCCGCTGTCGCCGCCGCCGTCGCCGCCGCCGCCTATCGGCGTCGTCCGCCGCCCTCGCCGACGCCGCAGCTGCCGTCGCCGTCGCCACGGCCGCCAGCACGCTCGCCGTCGCCCTGCTGTGCGGCAGCCTTGGGCCGGTGGGTACCCCTGAGGAGGAGAAGGAGGAGCAGGGGATTTTACGCAGGAGTGGGAGGAGGGGCGGGAGCAGGAAAAGAGTGAGGGGGCACTGGAGGCTGCACGGGTGTCGCCCTGGCCTGACCGTGGCTGTTGAGCGGTCGGCTACGCCCGTCTCACAGTTAAAACACATTTAGCCGTCCTTACGCAGCCACGCCAGGTGGCGAATCCCACCAGCCCTCTGGGCGCAGGTGGTCTAGAGCGTTTCCTTTTCCAACCTCCTTCCTTTCCCTGCTCGGGAGGTTTACCTCCCCCCCCCTCCCTGCGTCTGGACGGGTTCCCCCGCGAGGTGTCAGAGAGCCCTTTTCGGCCCAAGATTGGTCCAAGAGGGCTTCAGAGTGTGCGAGATGGCCTCCAAGATGGCCCGAGATAGCGGTAGATGGCTCAAGATAGTTTCCGACACGCATCCAAGAGGCCTCAAGGCGGCCCCAAGACGGTTTCAAGTGCCCTCCGAGCCCTCTGAGGATTCCCCCAAGAGGCCAAAATCTTTCAACAACGTAAGGAAAGTCAATGTCGTTTGCCTTCTCGCTTTTTCGCCTCCGATGGGCCCTTGAGGCCTCAAGATGGCCCCAAGACGACCCAGGATAGTCCTACGAGGAGCCCAAGAGGGCCCCGAGACGGCCCCAAGAGCGCCCAGGAGCGCTTCAAGAGCGGCCCAAGAGGGCCCCAAGACGGCATGTTGGAGCCCCCGAGGGGCGATGGCAATTAGAACCCCCTTCTTTTTTAGAGAAAGGGCCCAAGACGGCCCCAAGAGGCCCCTCAGGCATCCCAAAAGAGCCCGAAGAAGGCCCCCAGACCCCCCAAAAGAGCCCCAAGAGGGCCCCAAGACGCCCCAAAAGAGCCCCAAGAGGGCTCCAAGAAGGCCCTAAGAGGACCTCAAGAGAGCCCGCCCCAAGAGGGCATCAAGAGAACCCCAAGAGAGCCCCAAGATGGCTCCAAGTTTTGAAACGCACGCGAGTTTAAGATACAAATCAGTGCAACAGCCATAACGAGTCATCGAAACACCCCTCTGCCCTCATCGAAGCACCATCGTAGCTTGCACCGATTTCCATCTTAAACTTCCATGCGGGAAGCTCTTTGTGATCCTTGTTTTCCCGAAGACGGCTGCGCAACTGCATGCGTCCTGCCGCCCCTGATTCACCGATTGCCCTGCTGATCGTTTTTGGATGGGCTGGTGGGGATACTTTTTAGTCAGCGGCGGCAGGCGAGCGCGCCAGCGGCGAGTCCAGTAGAAGCGGGGCACGCAACCACGAAGTAGCCTAAAGCGACGGGGCGCAGCCACACCTAAAGCGGCGGACAGAGCCTCACGCAGCACCTCGGCGGCGAACCGGCGAGTGGAAGGGGCTGGCTGTAAGTTGACACAGTATTGCCAGGGTGCAGGTATGCAACGCGTCGGAAGCTGCAGGTAGACGGGGGGACCGTCGACCAGGGACAGCAGCAGACGTGGAATTAGATGCAAGGGCGCAAGCCCCCTGACAACTGCGAAGGTACCAGGGTGGCCGCAGCCAGTGAACCGACTGTCGGATGTCGAATTGGGTGCCCAGAGGGGACGAAAGCGTTGGCAAGCTGCGAAGTACCAGGGTGGCCGGGGCCAGGAGGTCCAACAGCAGCAGAATGCACAAGTGCGAGGAGCAGCCAGCTGCAGCGCGGCCAAGAGCGCGATCCGCGGTGCTGGTGGGGATACTTTTTTGGTCGCGGCCGCGCAGCAGAGGGCAGGCGGCGAGAGGGGGTCCGGGGCACGGGCTAGCCTAATTAGCTACTAAGCGGCTGGTGGGGGTACGCGAAGCGTCAAGTATTAATGTTGAACGTGCTCCGGCTTACGGTCAGGACCTGTGGCTCAGCCTGTCGCTCCGCCGGTTTTTGGCCCACCACGCTGCGGCGCGCCACGCTATCCACGTTCCCGAGCTTTGCCCAGCCTCCCGCCCCGCCGAGCGGAGCGACACGGTATCCGCTTGGAGGGTGTTTTGTGCCTTCTGGGCCATGGCGGACGTTACGCCCCCCTTCGTGCCGGCATGCCCCTCCCCCCTTCTTCGGCTTCGCGCAAGGAGTGGCCCTGGGTACCCAGGTAGGAGAAGGAGGAGGAGGAGGAGGAGGAGGAGGAGGACGAGGAAGAAAAGGATGAGGAAGAAAAGTAGGAGGAGGAAAACAGGATGAGGAACAAAAAAGAGAAGCAAAAAGGAGGA